TGGAATTCCGTCAACAAAAGGAATCCTTGAATCAGCACCACCGCCACCTCTCTCGAGCCATCACTCTCATCTCCCAAGTCACGGCATCCATTACGGCTATTCCAAACTAGAAAATAAAGTCGTAGGCCTCTGGAAATCTGCCATGCCTTCTTCTTCTCCACCATTAGAGATATTCGCAACACCATTGCCAACACCCAAACAGACGTAGCAGCAAACTAGCTTCCCACAGCCTCCTGCAACCTCTTGGTGTCTAAAGAGGTTTAGACATCTTTCTTTTCTCTCTTCACAGATGCAACGAAGAAGAAACCATCATCCTCCACGTTTGCACAAGTGGAGAAGAAGAACCTATTATGCCCAGCGAATCAGCGATGGTCCCTAAACTCCCCGATGATGCAAGGACAGTTTCGAACAAGGCAATAGCAGTGACGGATGCACAAGCAGTGGTCGCCGATCACTTCAACACCACCGCCTAACAATGGTGCTGAAGTAGCAGTGGGAGAGCTGCCACGAGAAAGCAAAATGGGTAACAGGTTTTCATGGTCATTAGTCACTTAGTTCTTCGAGCCCAGTAATCGCAACAATGGTTCAACTCGCACGGCTTAATCACCAACCGCGCGACTTAATCACCAATTGGAAAATTTTCAAAACTTCATATCTTCTTCATTTCTCAACCAAAATTCACGAAATTTGAACCAAATTGAAGCTTGGGATGAAAGGAACAAAACCTTACCACTTGTAGGTCCTAAATCCACAGGAAACTTGCCGGAAAATTATTGAGAATTATTGAGAGAATAGTTGACTTGGCATACAAGTTAATGAAATCTCTAGGACTCTCAGTGCCTTAAGGAAATAAATATATTGGAATCCTAATCACATGTAATCAATTAAGGGCCTTTATTAAGTAAATACAAGGAATGAGAGTCATGATGGGACTCTAATTGATTTGACATGATTTGGGTTGATATCCTTTCCGATCATAGGAAGGAATTGGTTGAAAACCCTAGCTATAAAACCAAGGAGCAGTCCCTGCTTCCATACCAGCTGAAACTCACGAAAACTACAAACCTATTTTGATAATAGAGTTCATTAAGAGGTACTGGAAGTAGAATACTACTTCTACTTTGCTCGCAATGATCAATGGCTTCATCTTCATAACCATGTCTTCCATATTCTCCTGATAAGTTTAATATAATTAGTCGATCTCTATTTTATATTGATTTGATTTATTCATGATCCTAATGTCTTGTTGTTGTGCTTTCAAAATATATCTTACATGTAACCCTTCAGCCGAGACTTGGAGGCAAAGGAAGAATACAAATCCTTAGTTTAATATTTGCTTCAAGTTTAAATTAGAGTTGTTGGATCATAGTCCATATGGCTGCTCTCACTTTTATCTAGCTTAAGTGATAGATTATAATAAATGGCATCATCTCATAGGGTGATAGCAATTAAGGGCTGAGATTTAATTTTGCTTGATGAGCGAAGGATCTCCCTTCCTTTTCCTTGTATAATGGTAACAACCTCACATGTTTGTGAGAGGAATATCGAAATCAATTCCATCATCATTCTCTTAAATTCTCTCTGCCATTTTTTGGTTTTCTCATACCTTCATCAAACTTTCATAGAAGCTTATCAAATATTCCCATACTCTAACATTTAAATGGGATCCTAACCCTTCTCAAACTTTATTGGGCAAGGCACAACAATGATGTAGTTTTAACTAGGCATCACAAATTGGAAATTGGGCCAAAATAATAAATGAGCAGGAGTCCAATAGCGTGATGGAGGCACATCATGTGTGAAGACGATGCCGACATCGAATCCGTGGAGGACGTAAATCACTTCAAATACGGTAAATGTGAACCATCGCAAAGCACAAAGCTCAATGGACTTACACTATGTCAAATTTAATGGATCAAATTCCCAAAGTGGCCAATGGCATGAAGTCGTATCAAATACCAAATGGTACGAAGTCGTATCAAATACCAAATGGTATGAAGATCAAATACCAAATGGTACGAAGTCGTATCAAATACCAAATGGTACGAAGCCGTATCAAATACCAAATGGCACGAAGCCACAACAACACTCAAATGGCATGAAGCCGCGTTCAGCTCCAATGGCTTAAAGTCCTCGTCCACACAAGCTAAAACTACACAAGGCATCAAACGCTCCTTGTCTGCATGAGCTGAAATTGCACAAGGCACCAAACCCAAAGAACACAACAATACAAATCTTTATTTAGTGAGTCATCCACTCACTGAAAATACCAAATCATTATGAACTACGTTGGTTTGATTCTGCCAAGGATATTGATGAGTCCATATTATACCATATATTTTACCCTATTCTTAGTTATAATATATTGGTTATTTTGGTAGAATTTTGATACTTTGTTATCTATTTTCAATACAGGACATTATATTTCCTCTAGAGAAAAACATGATCAAACAGATGAATTTTAGAGTGATTCTAATTGGAGGATGTTCGTAAGTCTGTTGACTTGATCATGTCAAAGTTTCATAATTTTCTACCAAGCGGTTTATTTATGGCGATGAAATAAAGAAGCAGCATGCAATGTTGTCAAACTAATGTTTTGGACTTCTTTGGGCTTTTTGGCATCCAAGATGATGTCTTTTAGGTTCAAGGCCTTTTGGAATTATGTTCAGGACATCTCAAGCTTTAATTCTAGCCATTTTGGGCCTGTTTTGGAGCCCTGAAGATCCAGAAACATGGCTGTTTTGAGACTATGCAGATTTTGGCCAATTTTACTAGTCAATTTAGGATTATGTTTCCTAATTTATTTTAATTTATTTGGTTTCCTAGTATTATTCTAAGACTTTTTCTAGGTAGGGTTTTATTTTCTAGTAGTATAAATAAGGCTTTTTAGCCATTAGGGTTTAGAGGGGGGAAAGAAGAGAACGCACGCACACTTTAGAGAGCTTTTGGATTCAAGTTTATTTTCAAGGTATTTTCTATCCTTGTTTTTAATAATATTTTGTTTATGATTGTTCGTAACTAGTTTCGTTTGCTAGGCCACGAGCCTTAGCAAGAATATGTAGTTTATTTTCAACTTCCTTATGATATTATGTATGCAGCTTTTGAATTATTAATCACCGATCTATACTGTCTAATTGTCTTAATGCTTAACTACCATTAGGATCTTTAGAAAAGTAAATTGATGCAATTTTGGTCGGAGGTCGGTCCCTGAAATTGACGAAGGCTTATTGTGATTAATATGTGCAAGTTCACTTAGGATGAATACCACGTCTTAAGGGTTGTATGGTTTTTCAAAAGGTTTCACAAAGTTTAATGAGTCATGCATGTTTAGATTTGATTTGAATACCATAGAGAGCATTTGACATGGTATTTCAAAGTATCAAACCATTTAATTAAGTTTTCTGGGAAAAATACCAAGTATATATACTGAAAACCAAAAGCCCACTCACTGATATGTGGAAGGGTCGTAACCCCTCAGCCTTACTTGACTGTGCTCGTCCTCAGGATAGGTCTCACCTATATGCGAAACAACTATTTAAACATTATTTTTAAGCACATAATCAAAACCAGGTAATAACTTCTCATACATTGCTCAATTGGGGTATTTGAATATACCACCATAACCTACTCAACCTCAGGAACATCCTCATATTTTTAGAAAAAAATTCGGACCACTTAAGCGCCGGCCAAGGCACGGCCAGACGCGCAGCCTATGCACAGGCACGTGCCTGGCACACTGACGAATTCCCTAACGGCGTTAGGGAATATTTCGTTAAATATTAGAATATGCTGTTAAATATACTTGACGCCGTTAGAATATTCCGTCAACTTCGATGGAATATTCTTCTTCTTCTTCGGCGAGTCACCAATTCCTTCGCCGCTGCCGTCTGTGTCATTAGAAACTAGAAAATTTTCAAATCTTCATATCGTCTTCATTTCTTAACCAAAATTCATGAAATTTGAACCAAATTGAAGCTTGGGATGAGAGGAACAAAACCTTACCACTTTTAGGTCTTAAATCCACCGGAAACTCGTCAAAAAAAACCCACGATAATCCGGTCACCGATGCAACTCACTAACTCGAGCTTCCTGATGTCCAAAACACTTCAAATTTCTTCCCTAAGCTTCGCAAAGACATTTTAAGGCTCCCTAGCACCCTAAAACTCGACAAAAAAGTCCGCGATCATGACAAGTGAACAGTGCACCTCATCGGAGCTTCTTGGTTCTGAAGTTTCAGAAGTCCCCACGTTGAACTAAAGGTATGGATGAGCTCCTGGACTCGCAAGGAACACAAAGACCAACTTCTCAGCCTCGATCCATGCAAGGAAATACTGGTTTAGCAAATGACCGTATGGTTGTACGGAAATGGAAGAAAATCCTAGAGGGAGGAGAGAGAGTCAACGATTGATGTGCATGTGTTGGTCTAGGTTGGGTCACCAACCAAAAACAAATAAAACTTAAAATCTAATTGGTCCAAAAGCTAAGAAGGAAAATGGATTGGTCCCAACCTAGTTCAATTACACCCTCACCATGTAACGTTCAAGAGTAAATTAGTAACTTCCACGCTCTTGACGACAAAATAATATAAACATTCGGGATGGGTTGTCACACCTAGGCTTTTACAATTTAATTTTCAAAAACCGTTTTCTTTTAGTTTATTTTAGTTTGTCACTTTATTTAATTATTTTCTATTAAATTCGTCTTTATTATTTAAATCACAAAATCACATTTTTCTCAAACTTTGTTTTAAATAATTAATTAAGATTTGATTTAACATAAATTATTTATTCAATCTTGAGGAGAACGACCTTACTAGAGCCATCTATACTACAATTGTCTTGTACTCTTGCAAGTATTTTAGTGTTTTTATCCCTTGTAAAATCCCTATCAGATATGTAGGCAGTCTATTACCATATTCACCCAAATAAACCAAACACCAATTCTTTTTAGTGGGTCATTCATTTACTAAAAATCCCCAAACCAAATGAACTACGAGTGACTTCATCCCTTAAAGGAGTTCGTTCAAATATGATGAACATTGACAAACAAGGATCAACAAACAATACCCACCAAAACACACTAAGAAAATATATCAACCGAACAATAACACAAGATTCTTACAAGGTCCTACAGTTCGTGCCTACATCCGCATCGTCATGCAAGAAGAATCAAAATCTTAAAAACAAAATAGTAAGTTTAAACAAAAATAAAACGAACGTAAACAAGCTGCCTTTAACATGTTAAGAATGTTTATGTTTTCTTGGGTCCAATTCAAATCAAAGGTAAACACACTTCTTCTGCAGAGACTAAATGAATAATTATGTATGAGCTGCGCTGTGACCCCTGTAGGGAAAAATGGTAAGATAGCATTCTGGGGCAAATCCTTGAGGGAATCGCTTTACGTCTGTGCAGTAGTTGTAGATCATATAATTCTTTTGCACCCATTGCATCCTCCCTTGATCCGCAATGTTAAGAGTCTTCCAGTACCATGATCCTTTATTTGATTTTGAATCGCAAGAAGAAGTGCCATAAGAGCAGATGCAAGCATCGGCATTGAAGTTCATGTAGGAGGCAGTGAAGGGCGATTGTGTCCAATCTATCTTTACAAGTCCACCTCTTGTGGCCCAGTTATCAGCATTCCAGAGACTGGAGTATAATCTCATAGCCTGGTTTTTGGGGAATGGAATACCAAACGACTCCTGGTTCTTGAACTGTCGAATTGGAAGGTCATCAACCAAGAATCTACATATACACGCAGCAGTATTAGAGAGCATCCTTTCTTACAAAGCCATGTAACTATTGATAAGATAATCAATACATAGGACTTGAGGTTTCTGATCGAAATTAGAATAATGCTAGAGATATCACATATGATTTGTTGACATTAATTGAACATAATATCTACCTCGTTGGTGACATGTACTTAACAATTTGATCAGACTAATTTTTCTTCCTATAAATTAAAAAAAAAATTGGTGAGTGTTAAGAAAAATTGCATCACAAAAAAATGACCGTTAGAAAATTAAAAAATAAATAAAGGAGGAGAATTTGGACAGTAATTGATCATAGGTGGATATGTTAATTGACATGCACAGTTTTTAACCACGTAACGAAATTCGGGCACCATGTCAGCAAAATGTGAGATTAGCCCTTTCCACATCATCACTTAACAATCAATTTAACAAATTAGCTAACGGATATGTGATGTTGCAATGGTTTGAAGATGATATATGGGGTTGCAATGGTTGCAATTGCACCAAACATGAGGGGACAAAATGCAATTTATTGTATTTTATATAACATTTTTTTTTTCTATGTGATAGATGCTTACTTACATAACATTTTGGGGATTCCAAAGTAGAGAATAGGTGTGGAAATCAGCAGTGGGGTCAAACCAAAGATAGAATTGCTGCTCTCTGTTACCCTTGCCTTGGCAGAACACATTAGTATGAAGAATGTAAGGCTCACCAGTAACATTCCCCAAGAATTCAAAGTCTATCTCGTCATGGGATGACCCAGTTGATGATAACTGAAACATATAAATGTACCAGTATACCGTTAGCATTAGAATTTAATATATGAAGTACTCTTGCAATTTTCACTTGAGTGATTTCATGGCAAAAAACCTCTCATCTATTTTCCCATAAATCACTTATATTACTGTGTGTGTGTGTGTATAAGTTTCAGGATACTTACATAGAAGGTAGTGACAGTGCCAGCAGAGTTTCCAGCAACAAGCTTGATCCGTATATCAATCTTTGCATATAGGTATTGATTATATGACTCAAAAGCTGAGCCACTGACATTGTCAAGAGAGAGAGCAAGGAGGTCCCCGTTGTTGAGCATCTTTGCATGATAGTCCCCTCCCCATGTTATGTAGAAATCTTGGTAAAACTTGCCAGCAAAGGTAACCGTGGAAGTGTTGATCATGAAAATAAAAATCAACAATAATGCTGCTGAAACATTGGAAGAATAATAAGCAGAAACCATTGCTCTTGATTTTTAATGGTTAATAGTGCTCTTCAGAATTTGTAGAAAAAAAAAAACTTAATTAGTGGTACTGGAAAGCAGCTTATTTATAAGCTCAAAGATGTGCAAGGATTTATACTATGGGATTTGTTCGTGGCTTGCATTTTATTCAAACACAGATGATTAAAAGTTGTCATTCATTGGTCATCTATTATTTAAATATATATTCAAAAACCATGTCAAAATGAGAGAATCTGAAGAGTAAAAAACTGTTTTACTTGATTTCAGAAGTTCATACGTCACTGTTTGAGTTGAACGTGGTGGCCACCAGTTTATGGACAGCAGCTAGCCAGCTACCAACCATATCGTTTCACACTTGCTTAACAAACCTTTGTTTTATGTCGAACCAGCTAGTGCCTTGCTCGTCTTCACTAAGAGGGTTCACTATTTTTTTTTATTTATTAATTTCCCTTTTCATTTTTTTAAAGAAAATTATTTATTACAAAACTATCAAAAATGTACATAGGACGTGCACATGGAACGTAACCAAGAGATCACACACGATAAAAATCACTGCACAAATTCACAATACAAACTATCATCATGAATATAATACGATTCTTCAACTACTGTAGAGACCTCCATCTAACCAATAAAAAAGATAATAACCTTGCGAGTCATAGAACCATAGTAACATAATCACGAGGAAAAAATTTCACCACCTCTGATGATCTTGCAATTGTCAGCAAAGAAGCACTGCTATGACTATGAGTCACCTACAATAAATGTCGAACTTCCTCTTCATAATCTTTTGCCAAACCAAAACAAAAAAATAAAAATAAAAATAAAAATAAAAACTAACCTTAACTCTATATATTAGTCATTGCTTAAAGATCTAAGTTTGATTCGTAAATCATAGCCATCACTAAGGCTCTCCTTGACAGAATGAGAGAGGGACTACAATCAATGATGTGGCTTAACCATGAACGCACAAATAGGAGGGGAAGGGAAGGGCACCCAAACAGGAGGGCAGATAATCTGCCTCCGTGAAGGAAATGATGGTGTCAGATGGGGTTGGAAAAATGGGGTGTTGAAAACCCAAATAAACCATTATTTTAGTTCCTACTTGCATCTCACTTCAATTTCCACCAAAAACAAAAACATGTCTTCCCATTGTATGAAAACTCACTTAGACATTCAGTAATGTTCCAGCAAGGGTGCGTGCTGCACGAGGGAAATTTCCAAGTTTAGGATTTGTCTTAGGTATTTTTACATAGTTTCGAACATAACTTGTTCGTTATAACTTCAAATTAAGGGTGAGCATGATGCGGTTAGGTGCGGTTTCGAATGAAACCACAGCCGAAATTGAAATCTTTTGCGATGTGGTTCTGTGCGGTTTTGAAGGCAAAACTGAAAGGAAACCAAACTGTTTGGTTCAATGCGATGCGGTTTCAAACGGTTTCGGTTTGGTTTTTGAGAAAAAAATGTACCATTAACATATACACCTATTTACGCATAAGACGGTCTTATTTTCCTCATATATATTAATTAATGAACATGCAGCAAAAACAGCAACAAGAATGCAGCAAAATGCAATAACAATGCAGCAAAACTGCAGCAAAAAATAGCTGCAAAACTGCAAAAAAAAAAAAAAAAAAAAAAAAAAAAAAAAAAAAAGCTGCATCAAAACTACAACAAAACTGCAGAAAAATTGCATCAAAACTGCAGCAAAAAATTGCATCAACCCTTTTTCATTCAGTGTTCTTAAATCCTCAGTTTCCACTAGAAGAAACTTCTAATAAAGCATGTTTCAGATAGTGCAATGTATACCACACACATAGCAGCACAAACGATTGAAAGAATGGTAGTAAGGATCCACATTGAAAATGCCGAACACTAGCAAGGATACATGCATACAAGCCCACGCAACATAACATCACAACTAGTAGTTACAATCTGCCATTAAAAATACTCTTATTTCTCTACATCCAAAGAGAAGCAGATGAAATTGAAAACAGTGGACAATCTCAAGCCATGGGATAATTGGGAAGCCTCCAACTGTGAAGTGGTCTCTATCTGTGACTCTGCTAATTCAATTACATAACTCAAGCCATGCTTCTGATGAACAAAAATCCTATGAGAATACCTCTATCGTGACTCTGGAATTTGGTTGGAAAGTGTTTTTTATACAGTTATTTGGCTTCATCAATGATCAGAGGCTTTTCTTCTAATAAATACCAAATTTTTTGAACATTAATTATCATGATACATTCGTCGTCTTTGTTACATTTAGGCAAGCACACAAGGCATTGCCTAAAGAAATTAATAATTTAGAACTTAAATTGATACTTGGGTGGTTCCTAATCTAGTTCCCCTTTTGATTCACAAACCCTATCCCTAAAATTAATTATAAACCCTAACCCAGTTCCCCTTTTGAATCTTTGATTCAAACGAACCCTAACTCTAAAATTAATTTAATTACAAATTATTAACTAAACTAACTAATACAAGTTCTAAGTTCTTACCATATTAGCTGGAACAAAGAGCACTAGAGCAGGTGAATGGCTTGTAGATGAAGGGGATCTGGGGATGCAAGCAGTGAGGTCGCAGAGATGCAAGCAGCCAGGTCGAAGAGATGCAAGCATCGAGGGCACTGATGTCGACTATGGAAGGGATGAAGATGAGTTTTGCGCGAGAGACAGACAAATGAATATGGTGACTTGAATAGTGTAGTTGAAGTTGAACTAATTAAAAGTTAAAACATAACATTCAAAATATATGGCGCGGTTTCGGTTTTGGTTTTAGTTTCGGTGCGGTTTTGAAAACCCAAAACCAAAACCAAACCGTTTTCTTTGTTGCGGTTCAATTTCAAAACCGCAACCGTTTCAAAACCACAAAACCAAACCATTTGGTGTGGTCCGATTTGATTTGTGTTTTGGTTTTAGTCTTCGGTTCCAAGTGCCCACCCCTACTCTGAATTGAGTTCCATCCGTGGCCACATGTTCGTAAAAATGAGTACTATTCAAAAATAGTAAAATAAGACTGGAAAAGTGAAAGGAAAATTGAAGTGCATGTGTAGGGATGATAATTTAATCTGTCAAATCTGATACCCGCAGGTAACTGGCCCGAAGAGTTCGGTTTCGGGGAGCAAATTTCGGGCTTTTTTATTGTTATGGGTAACCGTTGGGTAAAATTTTCTGTTTCGGGTTTGGTTTTGGTTATAGGGGTATCTGCTCTGAACCCATACCCAAACCCGCCCCATTTTCATTCTTTAATAAAAAATATAAATATTTATTATATTTAAAACCTTTGAGTTCTTTAATACTACATGGGAGACTACAAAAATCTTGAGCACCACATACACGTACACGCGTACCCACGTATGCAAAAGTCTTGAGACTACAAAAGTTCCATTTTTGTGCTTTGTGCTTCTCCTTTCCCCAAGCACCTTTCTCTTATTCCCGTGCTCTGTCCCTCACCTCACTTCTCTGCAAGTCTCTCTCTCTCTCTGTCTTTCTCTCCTTCTCCTTATTATACACCACACCACCATCTTCTCGCCCTCATCGATCCCTCGCCTTTCTCTTGTTCCTGTGCTTTCTCCCTCACCTCAATTCTCTACAAGTCTCTCTCTCTGCCTTTCTCTCTTTCTCCTCATTACACTATCCTCACCTCTTCCGAGCTACGTACACACGGCACCGCCACCCACACCACCCCACCGTCTCTGGCGAGCCCTCAAACCACACCCTCTAAACCCCCACCATGTTTGCAACCTCTCACTCTCTCTCCTCGTACCTCTTGCACCATAACCTCAAACTCCCCCGAGAACCAACCATCGAAACACCAGTGGCCTCCTCGTCTTTCTAACTGTTCAATCAGTTAAATTTTACGGTTATAGGAAAACCGTTACCCGATGTATTTGGTTACAAGGAATACCCGGTTGGGTTTTTTACGGTTTCGGGTACGGGAAAAATAAACAAGTTTGGTTATGGGGATGGCACATCCGAACCCAATCCACCTCGTTGCCATCCATATCCACGTGGAAGGCCTATGTGGCATCTCAGGGGCATTTTGATAATTTCACTACTACTTCGGGACGGGATGTCACAATCTATCCCCTTAAGAAAATTTCATCGTAGAAATTCGAAACAACATAATTTAATCAAGGAAAAATACGAATACAAGTCTCTCGCATGTTCTTCCATTTCCCATGAAGCCTTTTCAACATAGTGGTCTCTTTGAATTTTGTATCGCTTGCAAGCATGCGATCGTAACGGCTAGCACTACGAGAGCAAGTGTGTGTGTGTGTGTATGTCTTTGGGTCAAGCCCATACAACAACTAGTTAGGAATGAGGCCTAATTAATAAAATACTACCGGAGATGGGCCTACTTGCCCACTCGCTTAATGAACCCAACGAATATGTTATCGATATTTCAATCTGTAACCTGCAATACCAACAACCGATTATTGTCTCGATAAACAAGTAATGGGACCCCGAGGGTGCAAAATTATTATTTTGCCCCTTAAGGGGAAAAGTGCATAAATCGTCCGATTTACACATCATTTGCACTCACGTGTTCGTAAGAACACGTACTACCTAGAAAGATGTGAAAATGAACAAAGAGTAATAAGGACTCAGATGTCCACGTATGAAATCCACATGGGATTTCCTTTTAGTTGACTATGGATGTTTCGTAAATTTCTAGCGTTAGGGAATAAAATAAGAATAAATGTGGGATAAGATTCTGTCAAGTGGTCTAGAAGGTGTCCCCGTGGACCGACAGAAGATGGGAACATTAGTAAGTCGGGTCGACAATCATCGAAACATCATCATAGTCTCCATGTGTACAAGGTGACCTATACATGAAGTCCATGGTGATATTCTCTCCTATCCATCTGGATATAAGGAGTGACTGTGACAACTCGAACGATTCTTTCTTCCTACTTTGACTAGTTGACAAATCAAGTTCTTGCTTAATACCTAAGCGATCTCATTTTCCATCCCAAGTCAAAAGTGGAAGGGTTGGATTTGGAAATTAGTTAACAAGGTTTCTTATTGATTTGTAAGTAACGTCACATCAATACTCGTGAGTTGT